CAGTCGGAGCTCATCAGTCGACTGATAGGCAAGCATCAGTCGACTGACCAGAGGCATTTTCCAACCTACAGGTTTTTGTTTGAGTGCATGTTTTCACTTGTTTTGTGCATGTTTAACACTTGTATATTCTCATATATACACTTGATTGATCTCAAATCAATTACTAACATACTCATTCATCCATAAATGATATTTATCATAATATGACTCATTTATTACTATTTACCATAGTATTTTCAAAAATTACGGAGTTTTACATTGTTAAGGACACGATTTTTTTTCCCCATGGCGGACTGCTAATAGTAAATACCTTCCATCATAGTGACTACTTCTGTTATTTTTGTGCTAGCGAGCTTTGCGTAATAAGAAGTAAAAATTGGATCACATATAGTCATATGTTATTATTGTCCAACTAACCAGTTGATCTCAGTAGAATTCTCCGATTCACAGTGATTGATTTGAGCAAGGTCGCCTTTCTCAAATGTTTCTCAAATATGTCTGTCTATTTCTCAACCCTTTTCGGGCGATCGGTTTTTAGTGGGGTGGTTCTTATACACGGTTATAAATAACGGTAAATAGCCCCGCAATAACGGCGCTAATAGCGTTAGCGGTCCCTTCCCGCGACGCTATCGCGCAATAACGGTGACATATTGCGGAATATGTTTGTTCGCAAAAGCGGCCAATAGTGTGTCATAATGGTAAATAGTGAGCGATTGCATTCGAAATTTACTTTTTGACTACTATTTAAAAGCGGTTTGAGGCTTATTTTTTAAAAATAAACTCAATCGTTGATCATTGCATTCCACCGTCTCCTGTGATTTTCAGCATAATCCTGCCATCTCTCATAGCCTCTGGCACCTACCTTGATACTTCCTCTCACTTCTTTCACCGTGAGCTCCTCTTAGGGCAGTCCTGTCACCGCTAAGCTCTTCTTCTCGAAGACGACGACTTTTTGACTCCTCTAGTCATCTTCGGTATTACGTGATGGTTACATGTCTATTTCATGTTTAGGATCTCTTTAAATCATCCAATATGTACTTTTAGATTTCTTAGATTTTTTTAATTTTTTTTTTAGTATTTATACATATCTAAATTAGATCGCTATTTGACTTTGCGTTTTTTACCGCTATTTTGCCGCAATAGCCCGAAATAGCCTTAGCGATGCCTCACCGCTACGCAACGCTATCCGCTATCAATAACCTTGTTCTTATAATGTTTTAGAGCAACTTTGCATTTAATATTTATCTTCTTATCTGATGAATGAAGAAAAATCATGCAGACTTTATCGCTTATAGATTGCGTGAACTGCATACACACTGGTGTAGGTCCTCCGAAACACGACAATACTCAACAAATTCTAAAGTGTACGCGTAGAATGATAATAGCACGTCGAGAAATATCCTGTCCAGTAGGTATTTGGCACAACATGGCTTTACATTAGAAGTGTGTGTGATGGATGATGATCGTGAGTAGTTGATTAGGCATTTTATAAATTTCCTTAGGAGTCGATTTAGGATTGTTAGGATCAGATTTATTTTGTTAGTGATTTTATCTTTATTTCTTTTGCATTAGCATTTGTTAGGATTTGATTTAATTTCCAAATTTAGTTTTTCTTTATAAAATGAAGTTGTAGTCCTCCATGAGGAATTAGACATTAATTAATACAAATTGAGTTATGAGAATTCTTTATTGAGCATGTGAAGTGTTCTTTGGGATGTGAAACCCTTGGGTGCAAGGCTCTTACGTGTGATGCCTAATATTTATCAGACCTCATTCTCCTTTCAATTGTCCTTCTTGATCAGTCCCTCTAAAAGAATCCACAACATACCATTCTCCTTTCAATTGTCCTTCTTGATCAGTCCCTCCAAAAGAATCCACCACATACACCTCAAGGCAAAATACCCAAAGAAACCCTTAAACCCACAACCTGTGTTACTGTTTATAAAAGTAAACCCGGGAACAGTAGCAGATTGGTGTTCGTTGGTGAGCGATATTTTTTACTGTTCATATTCCCCTCTCCTCAGCATCCCAATCCCTTGCCTCTTCGTCAACTAGATATGATCATTCCCGAGGTTCAATGAGCTCCAATGAGTTCCCGCTAGTCATAGAGTATCATCATCACTGGATCTCTTCCAATCGCCCTCCAATAAATTACGGCATCACACCGCCAAGCTGTCGACGATTCTCCTCCTCTGATGAAGCTCCATCAAGGCCTTACAACGATGTTCGAAAATAGTTAGCTCTCTGACACTCTGGAAGGCTATTGAAGACTTAAAACCTACATGCTCCTCCTTTTATATCCCCATCAGATACGGGTACTCACCAAAGTTCACAATATCGAGAATGTCCTAGGTTCCAATAGGATCCGGATTGGCGTTGTAGGCAACATGTTTGAGAGCCTTCTACTTTTAGGTTGGAGCCCCTTTCCCAGTCCGTGTCAGTGTGTTTTCTATGTTCTGTTAGAGATTATAGCAAAGAAATTAGGAAGCAACATTTACTGTTTTGTTTTGGAAAAGTATAGCATAACAATTTCTGTTAGAATGGGGCTTCTATGATTATGTCTGTCTCTGTCCTTAATAAATAGAATGCAGAGTAGCAAACTATTTCACCTTTTAAGGAAGTGATAGGTAATGAACTAAGAAACTACCATTAACAGGTATTATGGTTTTCAAGATTTGTGTATATTAAAGGTGGAATTCACGATACTTTTGTTCAGTAACGCTACATGTGTTTGTAGCAACGCAAATTAAAAATTCTCATTTTATGAACACTCTGCTCTAGCAAATTTTCAAATCGTATATCCTTTAGATCTTTAGAAGACTGAAAACTGGATGTGGCTTCTTATTTAATAACATTTCTTTATTGTTCTATATGTATTCAGAATGTTGTTATTTAAATTTTGTAACATATGCTCAAGTATTCTCCCTAAGAGCAAGTTAACTGTTATTTCATGTTGGTATCCTTGAGACCCAAAATAATTACTCAATGCTATCCTATTGTTGACTTGTTGGGTTATAGTTATAAGGTGATAAGAGTGTATCACTCACTTCTAGATGCAACTTTAAAGCATCTAGGTTCAAACCTAGACATGCATACATTTAAAGTGGAATTTAAGAAATAAATATTGCTTGATAAAAGGAAGATCAATACATAGAAACTTACACCCATTATTCAAGGAATTGCCAAAAGAAAATATATTCAACCCTCTTCACTACTTTGGATTTTAAGAATATCGATGAAACAAACTCTAAATTCTTTGCTTGTTTTGTAAAAAGACTAGTATATTATGTGTAATGTTAGAATATAAAATTATCCCCTTCAACTCTCATCACAACTTTGGAGATCTAGTATAGTGGCAGAGACCTTTCAATGGTAGCATCACAACTTCGGAGATCTAGTATAGTGGGAGAGACCTTCCAATGGTAGCAGAGCAGCCTAGGATCAAATCACACTGGCACGAATTAAAAAAAAAGACGCCGCTGCATGAGTCTAGGTTTAGCCCATGAAAAGGGTTCTCAAACTGTGAAGCATGTTAAAATGTAAATTATAACTCTCACTACAACTTCAGAGTTCTAGTGTAATGGCAGTGACTTTTGACGTGTAAGTTTAGGACCAATACACAATTGTGTTTTCCCTAACCAAAATAGGTGAGCCTGTTTCTAATTAGAGACTTAATTTCCTACCATGTTTATTTAATAAAATCAATAGCAAATTTGTCCTTAATTTTAAAGTTTGTAGGTTGAAGTTCAACATGTCATATTGGAACTGAAAAAAATCATATATGTAGTATTAAATTCTAGCTCATGTTTTTCATTATGCTTAAAGAAGTCGGTACGAAAGAGTTCAAAAATTTATAAATCTTTAGAGCGACGAGTTTGTGGGTGAAAGGTAAGTCTAGTATCATGGGCATAGTTAATGAGACATAATATCTCAATAAGAAAACCTCAGTTGCTTACCAAAGATTAGAAAGGACCAACTTATTTTATTCAACTGTCAACCATAACTGGACTTGGGACAAAATCTTGGTAATTGTTCTTGCTATGTTGAATATTTTCACGATTTTTGAAAAAAAATGAAAAATAAAATTTATATGCAGCATAGTCACCTTCAATACAATCACCTGGGATTGACTACAATTTGAAAGTCTGAATTGTTTAAAACTTCAGCTTTTTGGTCCAATTGTGTAGAAAATGACGATATTTTTCTATTTTCTCTTTAAGATTTCTTGAATTAATCTGCTACAGTAATCTCAATTTCTCTTAGAAATATTCAATGTGTATGGTATCAGCTTATTGCTAACATCTCATGTTCAAATATATTCAGAACTCCTTACATTGCAGCGAGGTACCATGTACTCGGAATGATGTGTTTGAAATTGGTTACCTTAATTGAAAATGCAGGCTCGGAAATATGACAACAAATGAAACAGGTGATTTGCGGACTGCAGGGGTGGTTCAAGTTTTGGATGTTGGCTGTGGTGTTGCTAGCTTTTCAGCATATCTACTTGCTTTAGATATCCATACCATGTCTTTTGCTCCCAAGGATGGCCACGAAAATCAGATTCAATTTGCTTTGGAGCGGGGTATAAATGCTATGATTTCTATTCTGGCCACAAAACAGTTACCTTTCCCCAAAAGCTCATTTGAAATGGTTCACTGTTCAAGATGCCGTGTCGATTGGCATGAAAATGGTAAAGCTTCAATCTGCATAATTTATTCTTTTCCTTTTACTATGTTCAAATGTTAATTTGGTCTATAGGATATGGCAGAAATTATCGGTTCTAATGTTTATGTTCCATAATGTATATCATATGTGGGAACCCATAATGAGTGGCAACTCTTATCTTCATACTAATGACACTTATTGTCAGTGACACTGCTTATTGTCACTTAGATCAGTCATTTCTTCTCAGCTAAGAGAATCTGGTTCCATTTTCTTGCAGTGGTCGTTTGATTGCTGATGATGGACTTCTAAATAATTCTGTGATATTTGTCATTGGTCACCAGTATGTGATTTTGTTCAGGGTACTGGTGCAAAGTGCAGAGGACAAGCATCCAGCCTTTTTGAAGCTTCTTTTGTCTTCTTAGACCTGATCACTGTGTCCATCCTTCAAAGCCCGGATTGTTTTTTGACCTACTTCATTAAGATCCAGTATTTCTCCCTTTTTTGGAAAAACAAAATAACTGACAAAAATAAAAGTTTCACACAAAACTTTTAACCGATTTTCAATCTAAGTTTACGCTTTGCTTAGGTTTAGTGACTAGTTAATCTTCTTAGTGAAAAATCTTAATAATGCTTTTTAGTAATATTTTAATCCAGAAACTTTTGGCTACTATTCTAATTGTGACTTGGTTGAAATTTCTAGTTCTTACATTGTTGATACAATGAATCTCGGGGGAACACACCAATTGATGCAGAAGGAAGTTGATAACTTGTTAATGAATATATTATAGAAATCTATGATATTAGGAATAATATATTAGGAATATATAATTGATAGATGTTAGGGATATGATTGGTATGATTTTATCTTACACCTATTTTGTAATATCCTCCTAATCCTTATTTAAGAGAGGTTAGAGTTAGATAAATTATATATAATATCTTGGCTTTTCTCTATTTCTCAGCATGGTATCAGTGACATCCTCTTGATCCTAGAGAGACCTCTTTCTTCTTTCTCTACATCAAGCCGCCAAGGCGTTTTTGCCGAAAATTCCGCGCTTCCCCTAGGCGGCCTAGACATCCGATTCAACCTTGACACATCGCTCCATCACTCACCACCTCTGTTGACAGCAAAACCTAGTCCTAATCTCGCTGCTTCACAAACTAGTACTGTTAACCCATGAGCACTATTCTTCGACTGCAGTATTGTCCATCAGAGGTACTGTTCATGAGCGATACTATTCATATGCTATACAGTTCGCTGTGCGCTACTATTTGTTACAAATGTCGTCCATCTGTACTGTTCATCCACAGTACTGTACGGCAGGAGTTGCTGTTCATCTGGATCGTCAATCACCGTCATGCTCTAAATCCTCCCCTTTGATGATTGATCTCGCCTAGATCTCGATGATTCGATCTCGCCCTCATTGTTGAACTCTGCCTCCTTGTCGTTCTTTGCTAGAGCCCAATGTCAACTTCCACCATTTGTTTGTCAGATCCTAAAAGTAGGATCATTTGTTGTTAGATCCTTTAAGAAAGGATCATTTATTATTGGATCTAGAAAGAATCATTTATTGTGGGATCCTTAAAGAAGAATCATTTGCTGTTGGATCCTTTAAAGAAGGATCATTTGTTGTTAGATCCTGAAAAGAATCATTTGTTGTTGGATCCTGAAAAGAATCATTTGTTGTTGGATCCTGGAAGGATTATTTAATTGGTGGAGCCCTAGAGGAGATTAGCTAATTTGAAGATAGCCAAGTGAAAGATAAGAAAATCAAGATTATTTTGAGGCCGTTACAGATTAGAGTGTGCATTTTATTTGTAACAAGTGGACATATATAATATACATGCTCGAGCTTGAGGGGAGTATTAAGGAATATATTATAGAAATCTATGATATTAGAAATAATATATCAAGAATATGTGATCGAGAGATATTAGGGATATGACTGAATATGATTTTATCTCATACCTATTTTGTAATATCCTCTTAACCTTTATTTAAGAGATGTTAGAGTTAGATAAATAATATATAATATCTTGGCCTTTTTTAATTTCTCAACATAACTAAAGTCGGTATTTTGATATAATTGAATTTTTTTTGGATATATAAAGTCAATTCAAACACATTTTTATATGATTGATAAAAAAATAGTTGAGGGGAGAAATATTTAGTGAAATAAGAAAAGTCAATAATCTTGTGTTAAATAAAAGAACAGGATTCCATATGTCAATGTTAATCTTATTTTGATGTATACGTGTCTATAGTTGATCAATCGTCTTCCTCGCAAAGTTTTCAACTTTTAACCTTCTCCTGACAGCAAACCTTCTGTTATTGATTAGTTTCCTTTCATACTATGCATAATAGAGCCGCAATAGGGTATCCAAATGTCACTGTTGTCCGTTCAGTTGATATGATGTCTTCTGGAATGATATTTTATTTTAAGCTGGCACTTGAGTTAGGTACTTACTCAACTTTAGTTATGTATATCTTACCATGTTGTTGCTTGTAGCCAGCATGTTTCAGCTGCATCTAGGGATTTATCTTCCTTGCTTTTTTAATGCTTATGATGCCTCAGTAAAGACTGCAGTTCTCTATAAGAAGTTTTTATCATCTTCCTCCTGAACTCTTTCCTTGTCTAGGGGAATTGAAATGTCGGCCTTGGTTGCAATAGGTTACTGCCCATAACCAATAAGATAAGCTTTCTTCCCCTCTAAGAGGCGCTATTTGGTTTCTTCCTGCCCTCTATCATTATAGTTTCCTCGCCTAAGAGTTGCACAATGTTAAGAGGGTGGACAAAGGATGACAGCCAGAAGTAAAATTGACAAGTTTTCTATTTAGTCTCCATTTTCTAGAAAGACTAAATCTGTTGTCAAAATGTCTTATGACCCCTAAATGTAAAACGAGATTTTCTACTTAGTCTCATTCAGAATTTCTGCTCTTACTCATGTCTTTCTATATTAGAAATTTTCTTCATGACATTGACATCAATTATTGTCTATCGAGATTTTCTTCACAACAAGCTCCTCTTCCTGCCTTGACATCGACCTCTAACGTTTTCTTTGACAATACGCAAGTTTTCTATCCCACGCCGTTTGGTCTCGTAGACACTAAAATTTTCTGTTAATGTGCAAGGATTTCTATCCCTTGTGGTTGATCTCGTCGACAGTGAGTTTTCCTCCATTGATACCCTTGGGTTTCTGTCTCAGGCCATCGATCTTACATCTCTTGAGTTTTTCTTCATCAATACCATCATATTCATCCCTAATGTCAATATAGTTGCATCACTCAACTCTTTTATCGAGGCTCAGACATCTTCTCAAGTTTGGCTTTTATTATCCAAATTCACGTTTTTCGTCCCAACGTGAATTTGAGGGGGATGTTGGATACAGTAGGGTACACGATGAATATAGTAGGCAATGTCTTAAATGTAGTAGGGCATGTATTTCATTATTCCTTATCTCCTATACTTGGTAGAGCATATAATATATTTGTTGGTGCATAGGCCTCCTCTATTTCTTCTGTCTTTATTGGGAGTTCTCTATTAAACTACAATCTTCTATAAACATATGTACCCATGAATCAAAGAATATATCAATAAAGGGAGATTTCTTCTGCGTTTAAACTTCTTTCTATATGTCTGTATAAAGTTTTAAAGTTTTGGATTTTGTGGCATTCTGTTCTAAATGAAGTTCGTCAATGCAATACACAGTGCTTTTACTTGATTTTGGTGTTGTAAATTATTCTCCAAAAAAACTGGAATCCAAGGTTTGTTGTGCATCTTTTTGTTGGCACTGTCATTTAGGCATTTGTCAGATTAGTTCCAGTTATCTGTTGAGTTCGCTCATACTAGAACCAAGCTCTCTCGAACTTCATTGCTTAACTCAATAAAGTTTCTGGTTTTTGAAGGTTTCCTTTACTAATATCCATGTAGGGGCACTTTATTCTGGATGTGTATGTTTGGTCAACTTGTAATGCGTCTTTTGTTATTCTCTCAATTCCATCAGTTTTTCGTATCTGAAGAACTGCGAAGTAGCTCCTTATTCTGTTCACTGCTTCTGGCAAATGTGAAATTGTGAAATGTTTAGACATTTTGGTTTTAGTTAAATCAGTATCCCTGCTTATCAGTCATTGTTAAATTAATATGAAAATCTTGGTCCAAGTAATTATACTTACCTTGTGTCAATTTCTTATTACAGAAAGGTTATATTATTCTGTGTTCCTTAAATTCTTGGAGTTGAAAATCTTTGTATTTCTCTTGACTCCTTCATTTATTACTTTGTGAAAATTGATCTCTTGTCTTTGTGCTTACAAAGATCATTTCTTCAGATGGCATATTGCTCAAAGAAGTAGACCGTCTTTTGCGACCAAATGGATACTTTGTTTACTCAGCTCCACCTGCTTATAGGAAAGATAAAGATTTTCCAGTCATTTGGCAAAAGGTGGTAAATATTACTACAGCAATGTGCTGGAAACTAATTGCTCAGCAGGTCCAGACTGCTATCTGGCAGAAACAAGAAAATGAGACATGCCGGCTGCAGAATCAGGAGAGGAATTTATTAACTGTATGTGAACCCATCGATGACGCTATTCCTCCATGGAAAGCTCCATTGAGAAACTGTGTGCAGTCGAGTACTGATCAGTCAAACATTCAGAAGCGCCCTCCTAGACCGGATCGCCTCTCAGTATATTCAAGGAGCCTTGAAAAATTAGGTAGTTGTTTACTACATCCTCAGATGTTTATTCTCTTTCCTTAAATTCCTTTTGAGCTCTATGCATCTATGTTTCTGATTTAGAGTGGAAGCTTACACTTGCTTATTGAATCTTTAAATCATATTCCAGGAAGTCTATGACTTCCTAAGACTATATTGTTCTACCACTTGAGAATGAAACATGTTGCCTGCTATAATGCTAAATGGCTAGTGGAAGTGTTCCTACACCTGCTTTATGAATCCATTTCCACAGTCCAGTTTGTCTAAAACTAATATAGACAAAAAAGTTTTTTATCTAAAGTTCTGACAATTGAAATAGTGCTTTTGCAAGAAATTTTCTTCTATTACTAAATCTTATGACTGAAATGTTATGATCAAGCTGCGATTTATTGTCAATTTGTTTGAGATAAAATATTAAGATGAGGTTATTGAGAGACACGCATGTGAGATACGTGATCAGTTAGCTGCTTTGTGCACAAGTCTTAAGGATTAAAGGGTGAATACATTTGTAACAAGCTGAAAATTGACGAATAATTGCTCCAGACTGGGGGAGTGTAAAGAAGGGCATTTCTGGTATTTCATGTAATTAAGATACTTGAGATATAGATAGAGATAAAATATGCCATTATGCCCTCTATAAGGTCTTTCCTGTTTAATAAGTACCATCTAAACACTGAGTGTATGTGTTCCACAATCACATGAAGACAAGCAAGAGAAGGGTCGATTGTAGTTCACTAACAAAATCATGCGTCTTAAATGCTTCATGAAGTCGTTCATTCCATGGTGAAATCTTTTCCTTTGGATGTCAATAAAAATGTAATATTCTTATGTTACTTATCCATTATGTATGCATAAATGCCCAGAAATCTTGTACTTTATATTTCTTTTTAGATCACTTTTATAGTTTATGTGACATGTTATTGTCAGTAGGGGTTACTCCGGAGCGATTTGATCGTAATAATGCTTTTTGGCAAGAACAAGTCAGTCACTATTGGAGACTGATAGGTGTCAACAAGATGGAGGTACGAAATGTCATGGACATGAATGCTTATTATGGAGGATTTTCAGTGGCATTGAGTAATTTGCCCATTTGGGTTATGAACATAGTTCCAACAACTGCAAGTAACACCTTGGCTGCAATATATGATCGCGGATTAATTGGTGCTTTCCATGACTGGTGAGATGTTATTGATCTACCTATATTGCCAAATAATGGTTTCCTTATCTTTACTTTGAAATGGACACTTTACTTCTAATCCATTACAGGTGTGAGCCTTTCTCAACTTACCCACGAACGTATGATCTGTTGCATGTTTTTCATCTTTTTTCTAACTACAAGGGCCGCGAAGAAAGTTGCTCAGTAGAAGATATAATGCTAGAGATGGATCGCATCATTCGGCCTCAGGTATTTATTTCTTCTCTGTTTAATCTTGTTTGTCCTTGGTGCCTCTTGTTTGGTGCAGCGCTCAATTAACTTACTCATCTAATCATCTAATTATCTATTGTATGCTCTAATTGAGTATATTGACCTGTTATATGCTCTACGAGCTTGAGGATGTTTTCATACAGGTTTATGTTGTTGTCAATGTTAGAAACTCAAGTAAGATACTATATTTCAGAAATCCTTTTCTGGGTTTCTGTTTTGACAAATTTCAGTTTTCATTTGGGTTTTAATTGTTTAAAAAGAACTGCAGATATTTACTCTTGAAGTTTGATGCAAGATCCAAGGAAATAGTGAAGACTAGTATAACATCATAATTAGTGCTGCAATAATATAAAAAATCATGACATTTAGTTATTAATTTATGTTTCATAAATAATTAAAAGTTCAATTTATTACAGTAATAACTGAGAGCAGTACATAATGCTTGAACAGTAGACAAAATAATACAATAATACAGCTGAAGCTGACCATCCAATTTTTTTTGTTAATGTACTGTTTCATTGCTTGCTTTGTGAAGGTGAATGAAACATAGATAACATAGATGACCAGGGTAGGTCTCCTTCAGATTTATTATCTTGACGGTGAATTATATTTCAATCACTGATTTGGCATCAATAATCAACCATTGAACTTAAAGATGATGCCTTGTTACTTATTTTAATGGTACAGAGAGATTAAATTAGTCATTGTGATGTAATCACAAATGTTTTCCCAGATCTTTGCTCCCTAATAGGGACTGAATTATGTCTTTAACGCGTAACTATAAGTCAACTTACAACCAATTCCATTAACAAAACCTGGAAACAAGAAAAGGAGGAATTTTCAAAACCAACCCCTTTACACTTTTATTTGCAAAAAATGACCCGTTTCCAAAAAAAAATTCAAAAACCGACCTGGTTTCAACCCTGGCGCTGAAACCAGGTCGGTTTTTAAAATTTTTTATCCGAAACTTCACGGGAGTTCAACTCCCGTGAAGTTTGGTATATTTTTAAACTTCACGGGAGTTCAACTCCCGTGAAGTCTGTTGTGAGAGCAAAAACTCCACGGGAGTTGAACTCCCGTGGAGTTATTCTCTGGCAATTTTCACCTGCAACTCCACGGGAGTTGAACTCCCGTGGAGTTTTGGCCTGCCTATATAAGGCGCAAGTCCCGTGAACCAATCGATATCTCTCACTTCTCATCCTCAAACGAAAACCCTAGCCCTCTCTCCCTCATCCCCAACCACCACCGCCGCCCAAGGCTCCCACCGCCGGCGCCACCCCCATTTCCGACCGCCTCCGTCGTCAGTCTCCATCCCGCTGGAGTTGATCGCTCTCGTCGTCGTTGTCGCCGGAGTTCACCGCAAATTAGGACATCGACAAATTGAAGGTAAATTCATCTAAATTTTTTCCCTTTATTTCTTCTATATTCTCACTATTTCGTGGTGATCTCATGTAAAAAATTAGATTTTAGAAATTAATTGTGGATTGTTTATGATTTTTGTGAAGAAAATTTAAATAATTTTGTGGATTTAGAGGGGGAATTGTCAAAAATGTAAAAATTAGTGTTACTACATATTTAGGAACATAGATATATGAATTTGGGTAAAATTATGGTTTTCTAAAATTGATATAGGATTTAATGGTAAGTAACAATTAATTTCTAAAGTATTTTTTGTGTAATATTGATCTTGAATGTTTTACTCTTCAGAGGTAATGATGAACGATCGAATCGTAATTTTGTGTACGTATGATGGGAAGATTAACTACCACGAATCGAATCGTAATTTTGTGTTTGTAATTTTGTGTTAAACTTTTTAATGGGAGTATATTCCGTCGTTATTCAACGATTTGCCCAAATTCCTCTGATATTTTTCAATGAACAATTCGACCGAACGCTTCTCGTTATGTAAGAATCCAATGAGACCCATATCATAGTCACTTGATATTTGAATGTCGCTTGTTCTGTTCCCATTTCCAACAGGATAATTGCAAATAACATTGAGGTGATATTCACATGAGTTGGTTAATGTAAGTTTGTGTAATTCATTAACCAACTCATCGAAAGTACATGATTTTGTTATAAACAACGGTCTCGTCGCACCTCCTTCATAAACGGGCATATTATTTTCGAGGTAGTTAATCTTCCCATCATACGAACATAAAATTACGATTCGATTGTTCATCGTTACCTCTGAAGAGTAAAACATTCAAGATCAATATTACACAAAAAAATCTTTAGAAATTTAATTGTTACTTACCATTAAATCCTATATCAATTTTAGAAAACCATAATTTTACCCAAATTTATATATCGATGTTCCTAAATATGTAGTAACACTAATTTTTATATTTTTGACAATTCCCCCTCTAAATCCACAAAATTATTTAAATTTTCTTCACAAAAATCATAAACAATCCACAATTAATTTCTAAAATCTATTTTTTTACATGAGATCACGACGAAATAGTGAGAATATACAAGAAATAAAGGAAAAAAATTTAGATGAATTTACCTAAAATTTGTCGATGCCCTAATTTGCGGTGAACTCCGGCGACAACGACGGCGAGAGCGATCAACTCCGACGGGATGGGGACTGGCGGTCGGAGGCGGTCGGAAATGGGGGCGGCGCCGGCGGTGGGAGCCTTGGGCGGCAGCGGTGGTTGGGGACGAGGGAGAGAGGGCTAGGGTTTTCGTTTGAGGATGAGAAGTGAGAGATATCGATTGGTTCACGGGACTTGCGCCTTATATAGGCAGGCCAAAACTCCACGGGAGTTCAACTCCCGTGGAGTTGCAGGTGAAAATTGCCAGAGAATCGATCTCTGACAATTGGGGAGTTCAACTCCCGTGGAGTATTTGCTTTCACAACATACTTCACGGGAGTTGAACTCCCGTGAAGTTTGAAGTTTGTTCAACTTAAAAAACTTCACAGGAGTTCAACTCCCGTGAGGTTTATTTCTTAGATAAACTTCACGGGAGTTGAACTCCCGTGAAGTTTAAAAATATGCTAAACTTCACGGGAGCCGAACTCCCGTAAAGTTTCGGATAAAATTTTTAAAAACCGACATGGTTTTAACGCCAAGGCTGAAACCAAGTCGGTTTTTGAATTTTTTTGGAAACGGGTCGTTTTTTGCAAATAAATGTGTAAAGGGGTTGGTTTTGAAAATTTGTCCAACAAGAAAATCATAGCTCTTTTGATAGACATTTCTGCAGCATCTGTATTGGAAAAAACTTAATGACTTCAACTACGCAAAGACTGTCAACATCAAGATTGGCCAAGGATTTCTCAATTTACTTTAGAAAAGAATTTAAAGGTTTTTGGTTGTATTCTAGTAATTGTTCATTATGATTAAGAAAAAACTATTATCATAAAATGATACCTCAAACTATCAATAAACAACTATATTAGGAGAGAATATACCTGGGGCCTAGTACACTCTCTAAAACTAGTTGTAATCGACATTCAAAAAAACATGCCACACCACGTTTTTTTGCGTTATGTGTTGTAGCCAACCTTAATTGTTATGTAACATTTTAAAATAACTCAAACACATCTTAGCACTACCTTATTTCAATATGCACACATTGTTTCAATATGATGTATGCTAGTTCAATGTAACATGCATTATTCTATAACATACGCCATTTCAATATAACTTATAGTAGAGATTTGAAAGTATCTTCTTCTTTGTTTAAGACTTGGCATAGTTAAGCTATTAGTGCTGAATGTTGTCTGTTAAACCTTCGTGGCTTCTTTTGGTCGTTATCAATACCTAGTGACATAATTATGTTTGTGAATTGTGAACGTATGACTTGTGAAGAATAAAGCGAAATATAAACAAGAAATGTAAATTTGTTATGATATGTAAACATTTATTGTAGTACTTGTTAGTAAATCAGTACATATTGTATTAATTTTAGAATTTTATTAAAGATAATTTTGTATTTTTTGAAATCATGTTCCTAGTTGTTAAAATTATTATGAAGTTTTTATTTTTTAATTAAATAATTAACAAAACTTGTAAGCTACATTTCGTCTTATACTCTAAGTTACCCATATCCGTGTCTGTGCCTGACACGTTTTGGACGTTGCTTGAATATATTCATACATTTATTCAGATGTGCACTCAACTATATAATATATGTTTTAGTTTTAAACACCAGTAATACACATATTGGACATGTATCTTACACTTGACCTCGAATTTCTACAACTCATTAGACTCGGCTCAGTTTCACATAAACTTTCCGCCCATACTCAGCTCATAAGTACAATTTTAAAGGGTCGTTTTGTTGTCTAGATAGAAAAAGAGCTATTCTCCAAACTATAATGTACTCAATAAAATAAATATCAAAATGTTATAGGAATTTTATTTCTCATAACATGTGAATGAAAAAACAATGTCAATCTCATATAAATTATTAATTGGGAGAAATGCTTCTAGCCCCCTAAGCATTTACAACAATGTGTTGCCCCCCATTTGGCCGGTCAATGGGTGAAACCTCTACCCAAACTTTTAAAACTTCCTACAGTTGACCCTCACCTTAAACTCAATTCCAAATCTACCCTCCCTTGTTATTCTCTCTCCCTCATGTCTCAAACTCTCTTCTTCTAACAAACCCTCACCGCCCAACCACCGCCCCTACGCCGGAAAAATAGGGCATCAGTATTTTAACAATAATGGCCATCTCCTTCTGCCGTCAAGCTTCTCC